AACACCAAATACTACTCCAATGGGTCACCTACGGAAGATACGGAAGACTGCCTCGGCCGAATCACTGTAGGACTTACCCGGTCCAAATCGCTGACCCTGCTTGTCTCCCCGTTAGACATGATGGGGCTCATGGGCATGGCGCAGGTGGTCGCGACCATAGCATATGGCATCCGGGGCCTTCGCAGAGGAGAGACGACATGGGGCTGGCCCGACTTCAATGCTGACCCGGAACAAGAGAATCTTGCACAGCTAAGCAGGTGGTCACTGAATTCCGCGCCAGCATGGGACTTCCCTCCCCTTGCAATTGCCAATCAATACCACGATCAGCAAGCTAACGAAGTTAAGCGGGCGAGATACCGTCTCATATTGGTTCGAGGGTCAGACCTTCGCTGGCTGAACAGAGATCGCCTCCAGGAAGTCAAAACAGGCCTAGCAAAACAACACAAATGGATCCCCGTTCAGCATCTTCCCTTTCCCGAAGTTGCCCTGTATGCCTACGCGGCTGATCGCACACCCTTTCCCACATACGTGTGCCTGCCTTCAGGGCTGTACAAAGCGCGCACCGGGCAAGTTGTAGCACAGACCGGCCCAGAGCAGGAAATCCTATCTCTGCCAGGTATATACTTCTTTGATGGATGGCGGGTACACCCTACGTTGCCAATCCCCGACCACCTGCCACGCGCGAAAGAGGCGCCAGTTCAAGATATCGCCCAGACTGCTCCGACACCTGGCACAGAACCTACCCGGTCGCCGGAAGAAGAAGCGAGAGACATCCTGGCAACAGCTGCCAAGAATCAGCCCGAAGATGGGCCAAACATAAGGAGAGCAGCAGTCCGCGCGTGCAAGTATTTGCGGGCGATGGTCAACCAATATGAGTCCACCATCCAAGCAGTGCATATAGCAGCCCGCACCCATACACAAAGAAGCAAGGGCGCAGTAGGGCCAGCCGTCGATTATCGCCCGCAAGGTGAAGCCCTCCCAGTCATCTCCTCAGACCTGACTTCAGAATTACTACATTGCCTGTCCACGCTTCCAGACCCATGGCCCCTGGCCAAGATCACCATAGACATGGAGAAACCGAGCCAGTGGGTCTCAAAGTTGTGCAGACTCTACTTTGCCGATGAATACGCCAGGCGAACAGTCGGACTGCCCTCACCCACACATGTCCCAGACATTGCGGCCGCGCTCCGAGCGGTCCAGACCATCCTCCCCAAGCTCGAAGTCAAAATGATTGAATTCTAGAGAGCTGTACCTAGGCTTGAAAGTCACAGCATCTTTCGACCGCTCCGAATCATATACCAGAGTAATCGATGGTCAGGTAAGGTGCATCACGCCCGAAATCAAGCCGCAGAACCTGCAGGTCATCTGGAACGTGCAGTTTATCACAGTGTTCGTGCCGGCATGGGTGATCCCACCAGTATACCACAGCCTGCGCAGAGAAAGCATCAAAACCGCAAGTTCCGCCAGTCCCATAGGCGTCCAGTCGGTCCGCCCCACCTGGTTCGAAGATGTTGCAGCGCCCAAGGATACCACGCCCCAACCCAGCCAAGACCCTCAAGGGCAGCAGCCCCAGCCACTGCACGGGCTGAAGCTAGTTATCAAGGAAGAGGTGCTGCCAATGAAAGACCAACCAGAGTTCCCATCGCTGGAACTGTTGGCTGCCCGAGGCCTTCTAGCACCTGACACGTGGAAGTGCAAACGTGCACAGCTTAGCCTTAAGGCAACCATTGATGTCCCTATGCTAGGCACAATCATAGAGCAAAATGGTGATGGACTCCTTGAAGACTCCCACATGCCCGTAGGATGGCCACTGCACATTGATGGTGCTGTCAGGCAATGTTGTATTCATCGAGCCGCGAGCCAGCAAGAATTAGACGACATGCTCAAAGAATATGACATGAAAAGAGACTCAGTTGAAATCAACCATGACGCACCTCAATGGTCTCACCATGCAGTATGGAACAGACGGTACATGGAGCCGAAACCAGGCTCACACTGCAGCAACTATGGGCTGATTCTGAGCCTACCATAGGCAAGAAAACGTCCCCTTCGTATGAAATCAAAACAAATGACGTTTTGCGTGCAGTAGCGGCTATCCAGCATCTCCCATCTCCCATGCTACCTGACAGCCCCTTCCTACGCGCGTTAGGGACATCGGCAGCTCTCAAGGCCTCACCACAAACTGACACCCTAGCACAAAGAGCCCTGGAGGAATGGGAACGCACTTTGTGTGAAAACAAGGCAGTAGCAATCCTCGCAGAGGTGCAAGCCGGCCGACCAGCCCTAATCCAGAAAGATGGTGGCGAAATGCTTATCGCTATTGTCCTTGACAAGCCACTAGCGGAAGCAAAAGCACTAGTGGATGACCCTGCAGCCTTCACTCGTGAAATGACCAGAGTCCTGCGCGAAAAACAAAGCCATCCACTACTTGCCCAAATGATGAAACCAGCCGAGAGCAGTGACCCACCCCCTGCAAATGCCGCATTCAGTAGCTCCGGTAGCCGTGATAAATCCTGCACCAGTCAGTCCGTGCAGTTTCAGTAAGCTACTAGAGTTAACGTGGGGTACCCACGGTTGGCATGATGTTAGCCTGTTTAAGACCGTGGTTCTGAAGTTCTGTCACCATGGGGTACCCATGGTTGACCACTACCCATTGCTGCTAATCCCTTGGTAAACTTGCCGGTGTCAATAAAGGACGTGAGGAGCTGGGGGGGATTATAATATCCTTTCTCGGGGACCTTACTTAATGTAGTGTGTTTTAGGGTAGCGTAGGATGATGTCAAAGTACATCAAGCCATGGCGCCCGTCGCTGTTTTGCTCAGCACAATCCAGTACCTTCATTGCTCGAATGCCACCTGGCCATATGAGTACAGCGCAACCGAGTGAATTGGCATGCCTGCCTCAAAAACTCCAGAGTCACAATGAAGCACAGGATCTCCTCCTCTTGCAGGACTATGTCTACAGACTGACGAACACCCTCAGAACACTGGAAGACACCCATGCCGTATTGCAACAAACAGAACTCCTTGCAGGTGTTATCAACGAGCAAGATTGCAGAGACATTCGCACAGCCTGCTGTTGCATAAGGAGTCTGCGCATTCGAGTAGAGGCCCGTGCCAATGTTACAGAACGTGAAGTGATAAGTCGACAGCTACAGCTCATCCAAGCGAGCGTACAACATTACCCGACAGAGGACCTTCACACAGCTGACACAAGTTGCCTGTCCAGAACCTCGGCTGAACACTTTGAGGATAGCCCTGGTCCCTGTGCTGAGAGGAACGCTCACGAACCATGACATTAAACTGCTCAGGCAACGGGGCTTTGCAATCACCGCATATCACAGGATGGAGAGCATACCTAGGCACTGCACAACACAGCTACTCCCACTGGACACGAGTTGCCCTCTCAGAGGGACGACCAGATATGGCGCAGTTAGAAGGTACCCCAGGAGTGCTCCCCTTTGAAGTCTACTCACAGGCTCCCCTCCGCCTGATCTCATGGTGCAGCTTCGAGCTCCCAAAAACAGCCAAAAAACTCCTGCGCGAATTAGCTGAAATGTGCGAGCTACCTGAGACCACGACACAGGCACTTGTCACCCACAACTCTGAGGTAAAAACGGAGCAAGAGGCAACCCAATACCTAGCCTCGTTGGCAACTGTTACCATCTCGTCAAGGACCAAATTGCTCAACTATACCACCATGGTTCAACATTTCCTTGGCACCTTGCAATTGCCCATGGCTGTCTACATGTTAGACTACTATTTGCCCATGCTCAGCCCCAATGAAGGCTTTATAAACAGACCTTGTCCCTCACATAACGGCATAGCACGAACTCCGCAAACGGCATAGCACGGAGTTATCCAACATAAACATACATAGCGTATCCATATAGTCATATATAATTCGCAAACGCATACGAAGCATATGAGGATAAAACAACTGCACAAAGAAACTCGTCGCACGAAAACATACGTGAAAGAAAACATGCAACATCGAAAAACATCGCAAAACATAAATGAGAAAATATGCAATCGACAAAGTTTCGCTCCACTCACACTTTTCTCATCTGGCGGACAAGGGTGAAATGTCTCTCGCATATGGTTTGCATGTTCCATCGACTTGTGGTTCCTCGGCATTGAGAAACTCCTGAGAAAATCATTGCATTGGTTTTCAGGACTGCATGTCCGGTTTCATTCACATCACCCAGGGCGGGTACATAGTACATTTGGGCGGGAAGAAAAATTTGACCCAACAGCTTTGTTGGTGTCCCACCCTACCCTACCCTGCATCTTGAGATACATTCACATAGAGATAGATCATGAGTTCAGAACGAAGTGTTTGGGAGAAGCACAAGCATGACATACGTCATCAGTCCATATATTACCAAAACATGTATAAACACGCAACATGTGCAATACGTACGTGCATGAGTACGCAATGCGACCATGTCCAAACACAACTTAAAAGTTCACAGGTTTGTTGTTTGTCAAACATTTTGTTTTTTTTTTCGGGCCGCCTTAAAAAGGCTTCAAGGTCTTGTTTATAAACAGCTATTAGACACGTCTAACTGCAACCTTATAAACAGACCTTGTCCCTCACATAACGGCATAGCACGAACTCCGCAAACGGCATAGCACGGAGTTATCCAACATAAACATACATAGCGTATCCATATAGTCATATATAATTCGCAAACGCATACGAAGCATATGAGGATAAAACAACTGCACAAAGAAAACTCGTCGCACGAAAACATACGTGAAAGAAAACATGCAACATCGAAAAACATCGCAAAACATAAATGAGAAAATATGCAATCGACAAAGTTTCGCTCCACTCACACTTTTCTCATCTGGCGGACAAGGGTGAAATGTCTCTCGCATATGGTTTGCATGTTCCATCGACTTGTGGTTCCTCGGCATTGAGAAACTCCTGAGAAAATCATTGCATTGGTTTTCAGGACTGCATGTCCGGTTTCATTCACATCACCCCGGTCTGCTTTAGCACACTGTGGATTTTAAAGGAAGCTTCGTCACTGGGCAACACGGCTGTACGCATTTGTAAGGCCTCAGAAACTCAAGCTCCTTGAGAGACCCTCTGCTAGGGTGATCTGCAACATTCGAAGCTGAAGGCACGCGGGCGATCCAAAGCATGAAGTTGTCTTCCACCGGGTCCTCGAGAAGCAAAAGAAGCTCTCTCCATTCAGGCTGGAGCGACGTGCCCTTGACCAAAACATCAAGCGCAGGCCAATTGTCGACAAAGAGGATGACGCGTCTGGACGACACGTCAGGCTTCCAATGCAAGAGCGAGACGACGCAGGCATACAATTCAACGAGGCCAATCACATGAGTCTTTCCGCCGTCTTGCCACCGTTTCAAGACATCGTCTGGGACTGCGCAACCAAAGACTTCGCAAGCGCCATCCGGCTTTAGGGAAACCCCGCCAATGGTCGCCTTTGCAGCATCACCTTCATATTCCAGAGCCCCATCAGTAAAGATCAAGACTGGCTTCTCTACGTCATCAGCAAGGAAAGTCTTTGGTCGGCCTGAGCAAAGCCGGCACCTGAGAGTCTCAAACGCCTTGAGCTGGGATTCTTCAAGCAAGACCTTCGAAGGAGAAGTATGCCCCAACTCCCGTAAGTCAGCAAGAGCAAGTTTTCCAGCTCTGCCCCAAACATGTGAGTCGGCGTACTGCAACTTCCCCAGGACAGACGGCATAGAAGTCGGAATCACAAATTTTTCATTCAATATGCCAAGCAAGGCATCATTCAACTCCTCCACTCTGGAGGGCTTATTCGAGATGGAGACACGGCCCTCACTGCTAAGGCCAAGGTCGAACACCACGCCAAGGATCTCGGCGCTGCGCTCAAAAGGCAAAAGCTTCTCCTCAGAGTACACGAAGCCGAACAGGGACATCATTCCCCTTGCGCATGCAAGAGTAGAACCAGTATGCAGGCTGTGCGACAACATCGGAAAGTCGTCGAAATAACTCATCCAAATGATGCCAAGGTGGCACCCCGCAGCCTGCAAGAAAGCGCTGACGCGCAAGAAGTTGTGTACACTTGCCGACGCCCCGAAAGGAAGGACGTGGCATTCGAAACACTTGACATCCCTGTCTTTGACGCTCCACAAGGAAACGATGGATTTGTCAAAATCCAAGGGGCTCAGAGGAAGTTGCTTGTAAGCGGACTTCAAGTCCATTGCAGTGATCCTCAGATCAGGTGGCATAGCCAGCCACTCCGGATGGACACAACCATCCAGGACCGTCCCATCAGACAAGGTGAAAGAAACATGACCCCCAGACCTGTAGAAACGCATCAAGAAAATAGACGCCCAGACCAAGTGATCCAAAGCATACAAGGTCGCCCTCTCCGTGCTTGAAAAGGTGTCATTGACCCTATTTTCACGCAGATCATCAATTGGGCGAAGCTTGTCCTTCTGGACCACAGGGAACCTCCTGACCGGCAGCCACCGCCCATTGTAGCGCTGATCCATTTCGACAGGACTGAAAGGACCCTTAAGCCACGACTTCTCTTTTGCCTCGGCGACAGTGATGTCGTAAAGTGCACTTGAATGCTCGCCACCTCCACTGGCACGAATCTTCCCAAGCAAAGCAGGCTTGAGGAACTTTGCATCACGCATGAGTTGTTCTTCGCTAAGCGTCGCGGCCTTGAGGCCCTGTTGAAAAACGTTCGACCGAGTCGCATTACCAACCAGTCGGAAACCAGTTGCAAGCTCGCTGAACAACTCAGTGTCAGGCCATCCAATTTCTTCCGCAACTTTCTTCATGAGGAGCAGGCGCTTTGCTCCCAGGACTGCTCTCACCCTGGGGTCCAATGTCAACTTGTATTCGCTCTCGTCTTTGGCCAAGTCACGCGCCCAGGATGTCCACAGTTTCAACCTCTGGATCCTCAACTTGACAAGATCCACAGGGGACTTGGTCAGATGTTCAAAAAGACACCTGAGCAAATGGTCTGGCATGTGGGCCGCCAAATCGAAAGGGTGCCAGAGCGACTTTGCAACATGCACGAACTTCTCACATGTATGAAAAACACCAAAAATGCACAAGACCATCTTCCCCTTCTTCTCGGAACGCAGGAGCTTGCTCCCAACTGGGACATTTCTACAAGGCTGCATCAAACAACGCTTTGAGTCAAGGGCCGGAGTATTGTGAAGTAGCAGACTGACGACTAGCTCATACTCAGGAATGAGTTGAGGCGTAGCTCGACCCCTGGGCTGCCTGTGCGCTCGAGGTTGCTGCAAGCTCGCAGGCGATATCTTGATGCCCTTGTCGGAGCACAATTCATCCACAAATTTCACCAATTGTTCACACATAGCATCCGGGTATTGGGCTTCCAACGCCGTTGCAAAACCTCCATCAGCAGAAATGCCCCACGGAGCATGTTCGTGAGGTTCCACGTCCCCACAAAACTTTTGCATCATGTGAATGCCAGATCTGTTGCTCAGAAAGGAGGTCTTCTTAGGCCTAGAACTCCCGTATGCGCAAGCATGACAATGCGCAAAATACCCATGTTGCACAGCATAAGAGAAATAGCCAAGCTCCCACAAGAAACTGTTTGTTGGATTTTCGAGCACCCATGCAACGCCTTTTGAATCCAACCATTCTATGAACTTGCCCATTCTTTCATACAGCATGTTGGCAGCATTGACCTTGATCCTGTCAAGAGGAGTCATGTCTGGCACTCCAAGTAGATGTTCAGCCGTACGAAGAGGCTGAGGCCCGGGCGACCCATCGGGCATGGGTATACCCCTTGCTTTGCTGCATGTTCCACAAGGTGGCGCCAAATGCACCGCCGCCACATCGCAAGTGTCGACAATGTACTCCAAAACCTCCCAAGCATGGGCCTCTGACAAATCCAAGGAGACAATGCGACACCGAGGCTTATGTCGATTCCTCTTGCAGTCAACTGGGAGAACTCTGTACCCATGCCTCTGGGCGGTAGCACTCAAAACAGCGCTACCAGCGCACAACTCGATGAAAACCATTTGCCTATCTGTGGTACCGCCACCAAAACCATCAAAATCAAAATCTCCATGTGAATCCCTTGAAGAAGAACATGAAGCAACATGGTCCGTTTCGGACTGGGCTGCAGGCATTTCAGCAGCGACAAATTCAGCTGACATGACAGCCTTCTTTGAAGGTTGGCCCCCAGCTCCCAGTCTTGCATTGACTGGGCTCCGAGAGCGGTCATCAGCGCCCATGCATTCGGCACCCAATGCGGGACCTAGTCACTCCCGCGCAGCATTTCCCTTATCGGGACACTCAACTGCCATGTGCATCTTCTGACAACCTTTAACCGCGCACAAGTGCAATCCCTTGCCGCAGCGCTGATCCTTGACGGGCAGCTTGCATCTCCTCAAGTTGTAGTCGAAGCACAAACGATGGCCTTTGGTCGTAGCACCTACACATCCCAAGGCCAACAACTCACTCGGGACTCTCATGAAATTTCCCTTTGAAGCACCTTTCAAGTTTTGCGGGCCCGTTTTGGGCTTCTTGGTGGCAGGCTCTTCCGAAGGTTTCTGCTTGGAAGGTCCCGGAGATGAAGCAGGAGGAGCAAAACGATGCTGCAAAAGGTTCAGAAACTCAGGACTGTCCAAACATGCATCAAAATTCTCATCACATGGACGGCCTGCAGGGCCAGACTTGATACCATCACGCGTCTTTTCTGCCATGAGTGTCCAAAACTTTTTGTCTGCTGTCTCAATCTGTTTCAGGCTGAGCTTCAGGCAACCGCTTGGTGGTTCTTCCATACGGGCATTCATGAGTTTTTCTGCCAAACGATCATGCAACTTGAAACACATAATATTGGCCTGATCGAGCGCCAAACCTCTTCGGATGAGACAGTAGCGCACCTGCATCTCATTTCCAGTGCTACATGGTTCAACCTGGTCGCGCTTGGATAACTTCAAAGTGCCTGAGGAATCAAAGCTGAGGTTTGCATCTTTCTTAGTCCCTGTGACTATTTCATGGTCACGAGAAACGCAAACATCCCATGGTATGTACGAAACCCTGTCTGATTCATAAGCAGCAACGGCTCGATCCACAAGTGAGTCTCCAGGTTCGTAATTTCCTCTAAGGTCGAGGCCGGACAACCTGGTCTGCTGATCCTTCAAACGCTGGGACCTCTCTGCAGGTGCAAGCTTCTTCACCGAAGCCTCGTCAGAAGCCTCAACCTTTGACCGAATATCAGCAGCAATAGTCGAGTAGGCTTCACTGAACAACCTCCTAATGCATGCCATTTCTTTAGTAGAAGGTGCACTTCCCAACACATTTGTGGCCAACGCGACAAGCGGCCTCTCATCCGCGGTCCCTGGAGCATAGTTGCATGAGAACGCAAACGTTCCCAAGGTGTTCAGGCCTTCTGCATTGAAGGCTTCATAGTTAGCATCAGTAAGACCAACTTCCAGAAACCTCTTTTTGAAAACTGCCTTGCTGTCGCTATAAGACATGGTGCAAGCTGGAGCCGAGACTTCGAAATAACTCGATAAAATTTCATGTGACCACCTTGCATCAGGCGGTCAACATTGCATTGCATCATACTGGACGTCACTGCATATGACGGCAAGCATTCATAAAACTGGCATCAATGACACAAAATTTTGAAACCCCACAAAAATGGATCAAAGTACAAGTTCACACCACCCCAGCAGCATATTTTCACGACCGAAGTCCTTGAATCATATACCATAGAAGGATGAAAGAACTCCAGAGGTCGCTCGGGAGCCAACATTGGGCAGACATAACTCCGCCAAAGGGGGTGTGTGCCACCCTCATTCATCCAGCAGTGGTTGCATCCGGAGGCCATGCGCCTCACATAGAAAACCTTCCCAAGGGATAGGGCGTCAAACAACGCCTCACGGTCTCCTCCCGAAGGATCATGTCAACTTCTTCATCCCATCCACAGTTTGAAGAACGCAGGGCCAGCACGCCGTCATCAGACGACAGCTGTTGCAGCACAAATCCAAGAATGCATTGTGTCAGGATTGAAAGTGACTCCACAAAACATTTCCAATGACTACCCCTTAATGAAGTCGTAGACCCTGTACTCTTCCAGTGGCGGACTGCCAACACTCGTGTCATTGCAAAATCATAGGCATCACGACATGGGCCCTGCTCTGCAGTGGAGGAACTCGATGACCTGCTTACCAATGCATCAAACACAGACTCGACCAGTCCTTCTGGTGCAATCTCCAACGAACCAGCCAAAATTTGAAACAGCATCGTCACAAAAGCCATGACATTCACGAAAAATATCATCATCCGCTTCTTGTAAACGTATTTCAGCCCAAAGCAGATCTCCTCGACCCATGGACATAAATGCGCATCGTGCAGAAACTTCTCAGTGCGATTGTAATTCGAAACGATTGCAAGTAGGAACACAAAAGGTTCCGGTCGGGGTTGCTCCAACAGCAGCACAAGAGTCGCGACCCCAACAGTTCTCAACAGCGCTCCACGCACATTCCCAACCAATTCAATTTGGTCATACATCTTAGCGTCACATGACAGTATCAAGTTGCCGGCACTGTTTTTCAAGTACGGCTGTCTGACAAGCATGCAAGACTGTGATGTGTCTGTACCAGTGAGCTCGTCATCAAGAGAAAAACCCCCCTCGAGCTTTAGGGACATTAGGACAAGAAATAGTCCAATTGTAAAAACTGTCAGAGCCACTGCGGCTAAAGCCAAAAATGCCATGGTCACCTGGTTAGTACCATGTGTGAGAGGCACATCGATGCCGTACATGGTCCCTGGCTGTGTTGGCGCAAAACGCGTTGCAGCCACACATGCTGCAAACATAATGGCACCGTTCTTGAGGAAGTGGCCCTTCGGGCGTTCCAGGGGACGGTACTGACCATGGGTGTACCGTTGAAGATCCCGCAGAATGTAAGTCTGTTGTCTCTGCGGCCATTCCACTGTCAGCTGCGTCTGGGCCATGTGTTACTCCGCTTTCCTCGTCGATGTCACCGATCTGTGCACCCACCGTGATGGGAATGCTGAGTCGTCGGGCGACTTCGCAGAGCAATGTGAAGAGGAGCGTCAGTAATTGTGGCCCCGACAAACCTTGTAGCTGAGAAGCATCCATCAAGAAAAATTTGACCCAACAGCTTTGTTGGTGTCCCACCCTACCCTACCCTGCATCTTGAGATACATTCACATAGAGATAGATCATGAGTTCAGAACGAAGTGTTTGGGAGAAGCACAAGCATGACATACGTCATCAGTCCATATATTACCAAAACATGTATAAACACGCAACATGTGCAATACGTACGTGCATGAGTACGCAATGCGACCATGTCCAAACACAACTTAAAAGTTCACAGGTTTGTTGTTTGTCAAACATTTTGTGTTTTTTTTTTCGGGCCGCCTTAAAAAGGCTTCAAGGTCTTGTTTATAAACAGCTATTAGACACGTCTAACTGCAACCATAATGAAACAGGGTTAACAATGCAAAGTGCAGGACCTATCCGTCAACCATGGCAACCCATTACTTTCGAATTCCTCTTCAAAGACAGCGAATTTGGACACTGGAAAGTCAAAGGCGGACAAGATGCATTTGCGTTCCGACATCCAAGCCTTGGCAAAACTGAAGTTTTCAGCCTCCTAGCCAGCGATGCGCACCATCACAAAGTTAGCCCCATCGGCACGGGTAGGCTAGTTGCAATGGTAGGCACCGCAGAAGCTCCAGCCGATGACGGAGGAGACCTTCAAGTCCTGTTTGGATTGGTCCTAGCCATCACGCCACGCACATCCAAAAGCAAGGATGAGCTGCCTGCCGCCCGCATACACAGACAGTGCAACCCCAGATTCATCGAAGTAGCCTTTCTCTCAGGACCAGCCATTGAATTTTTCGCGAAAGAACAGCTTGTAGCCCTTCAAGACTGTTATGTTGCCTCCGGCCAGCGCCTGGACCCCATTGATGCGACCGTTCAAGGGCAGAAAAGCCCGGTCCCAGGGACCTTCTACCTACACACAATGTGGATGTTCGGATGTACCAAGCCTACCAGAGAGGTTACCGCTGTTGCACAAACTCCCCCGTGCAGATACCACCTGGGATTAGGCATCTATAATGTCCAAACGGCAGTGGAAGGAATGGATGGCAACAAAAGATCACATTTCTTGCATTTGTGCGGCCAGTTGCTACGCCTAGTGCTAATTCCATGTCACGTAGAGGGTGAGCTTCACCCCTGGACCCGCTCCACTGCACTATCCTTTGCCGCTGAGCTCGACGGACATGTCTTGGGCACACTCTGCGCAGTGACAATGGCGTTGCTCACCAATCGGTTAGACCTGTGTATCCAAGGGCTTTTCGGAGCAGGCAAGTCGAAATCGATGGCAATCCTCATCCTGGCCTTGATTGAAATCGATGCTACTGACAGCCTCAAAATATTATTCATCTGTAAAGAGAACTCCGGTACTAGATCCTTTGCTGACCTCCTCCTATGGCTCGACCCCCCGTCGGGGGTGTTTGGGCGCATAGGTAGGCTAGTGGGAGACCAAGAACGTAACAAAAGTAGTTACTCCCACACGAAATTCGACATACACCCGAGAGAAAGAAGGCAAATGCTGAATAAGTGTCAGTTAATTTTAGCCACCGGAGGAACGGTAGCCCAGGATCTTACCATGCAATGGTCCACAATGGGTGGCTTTATGCAAGAGCTCTCCCTCCTGGTCATTGATGAAGGCCAGCAATATGGTACTGACCGAGAAATTGCAGTCATCAGCCTGCTGAGACAGCAACCCCTGGTCTTGTGGACAGGAGACTCTGAGCAGACACCCGGCGGCATTGATCGTGCAGCCCGCAACGCGAAACGATCACGACAGCTCCTGTTGGCCAAGAAGCATGGGCTGCGAAGCGACCGCAATTATTATATGCCAGCTAACCTTGCCGATGCAATGATCCGACTGCTGGACGGTTCGGCCAATGAAGGTTTAGCGGCTCTTGGTCAAATCCTCAAACGAGGCCAGCCCACTTTAGGTCAGCTATGGACAAGTCACCTCTCGCCGCAGGATGCGGAAGACCTCAGGGCAGCCAGCACTGTTCTTCCAGGCCTGAGAGCCCAATTTGAAGCCGCCCAGCCCAATATGCAACGGCACTCCCGATTTGTGGACTCAGAACTGCTGGGAGGTACCACTATTAATTTTCCACGGTCCCTCGTGCGCCTCGCCTGGATCTTGCAGCATGCCGCTACTCTCCTACCTATGGCTGGAGACATACAAGCAGTTTTAAATTCCCAGACCGCCGGAGTGAGTGACATCCATGCTTGGGGGTTAATGCTTCCCTCCAGCTCTGGGGTTAGTCCTGTGACATACCATGCAGTGGTTGCAGTTAGATATCCTGATCTCTGCAGGCAGATCAATGGCCTATGGGAACTGGGAAGTTTTGCCTCGGGAGGACTCCCCGACAAGCCACCAGGGTTCCAATTAGTGCTTTGGGATACTAATGCTAGGATTAACGGGTTGGTAGCGACAGACCTGGAGACTCTTGTGTCAGAGGTACTCACCCCTTTCCCACACAATGCTGGATTTGCAGATGGACTTTTTATAATGACCACGGCAACAGATCACAAGAACAACTTGAACCGCTCCGTGCTCAAAAGGAATTATGTCCGCACCCTGCGTGTAGAAACAATAGCCAATTCAGCAGGAGGAACAGCACAGGTATCAATCGTAGCTCAGCCCAGCATTGGATTTTTAAACACCAAATACTACTCCAATGGCTCCCCTGCAGAAGATACCGAAGACTGCCTTGGCAGAATCACTGTCGGACTCACCCGGTCCAAATCGTTAACCCTGCTTGTCTCCCCGCTAGACATGATGGGGCTCATGGGCATGGCGCAGGTGATTGCGACAATTGCATATGGCATCCGGGGCCTCCGGAGAGGAGAAACGACATGGAGGTGGCCTGACTTTGATCCTGACCCAGTTCAAGAGAATCTAGCACAGTTAAGCTGGTGGTCACTGACTTCAGCACCAACCTGGGAGTTCCCTCCCCTTGCAATCGCCAACCAATACTACGATCAGCAAGCCGACGAAGTAAAGCGAGCGAGATACCGTCTAATATTGGTGCGCAGGTCGGACCTTCGCTGGCTAATCAGGGAGCGCCTCCAAGAAGTCAAAACAGGCTTAGCAACTCAACATAAGTGGCTCCCCGAGCAGACTCTCCCTTTCTCTGAAGTCGTCCTATATGCCTACGCGGCTGATCGCACACCCTTTCCGAGCTACGTGTGCCTGCCCTCAGGACTGTACAAAGCCCGCACCGGGCAAGTAGTGGCGCAGACGGGCCCAGAACAGGAGATTCTGTCTCTGCCTGGTATATACTTCTTTGATGGATGGCGATTACACCCTAAGTTGCCGATCCCAGACCACTTGCCACGCGCAAAAGAGGCGTCAGTCCAAGGTACCGCTCTAACTGCACCTGCACCTGGTACGGAACCCAAACGGTCGCCTGAAGAAGAAGCGAGAGACATCCTAGCAGTAGCTGCCAAGAATCAGCCCGAAGATGGGCCAAACACAAGAAGAGCAGCTGCCCGCGCATGCAAGTACTTAAGAGCTATGGTCAACCAATATGAGAACACCATCCAAGCGGTGCATATAGTCACCCGCACCCATACGCAAAAAAAGCAAGGGCACGGTAGGACCAGTAGTTGACTATCGCCCGCAAGGAGAAGCCCTCCCAGTCATCTCCGCAGACCCGACCTCCGAATTGCTGCATTGCTTGTCCACGCTCCCAGACCCATGGCCCCTGGCCAAGATCACCATAGACATGGAGAAGCCGAGCCAGTGGGTCTCAAAGTTGTGCAGACTCTACTTCGCTGATGAGTATGCCAAGCGAACAGTTGGACTGCCCTCACGTCGGCATGTCGCGGACATTGCGGGTGCACTTCGAGCAGTCCAAGCCATCCTCCCAAACTCGAAGTCAAAATGATTGAATTTTTAGCTGAATGGATGGTCACTCTTTTAGTGCCAGCATCGCACGTATTGGAAGTGAGGGCACCTCACCTTTCCTTTATGATGCTCAAGGAATACTGGTTTAGAGAGCTGTACCTAGGTCTAAAAGTCACAGCATCCTTCGACGGCTCCGAATCCTACACCAGAGTGATCGATGGTCAGGTAAGATGTATCACGCCTGAAGTTTAGCCGCAGAATTTGCAGGTCATTTGGAATGTGCAGTTTATCACAGTTTTTGTGCCGGCATGGATGATCCCACCCGTCTACCATAGCCTGCGCAGAGAAAGCATCAAAATCGCCAGCTCCGCAAGTCCCATAGGTGTCCAGTCGGTCCGCCCCACCTGGTTTGAAGACACAACACCCAAGGATACTGCATCCCAACCACCTTAAGACCCTCCAAAAGAACAGCCCCAGCCACTACATGGGCTAAAGTTAGTCATCAAAGAAGAGGTGCTGCCGACGAATGACCAACCAGAATCCCATCGCTTGAACTGTTGGCTGCCAGAGGCCTTTTAGCCCCTGACACGTGGAAGTGCAAACGTGCGCAAGTTAGCCTCAAAGCAACTATTGATGTTCCTATGTTGGGTACAATCATGGAGCAAAATGGTGATGGACTCTTGGAAGACTCCCACATGCCCGTGGGATGGCCACTCCACATTGATGGTGCTGTCAGACAATGTTGTATTCACCGAGCCGCTTGCCTGCAAGAATTAGATGATATGCTCAGAGAATATGACATGAAAAGGGATTCAGTTGAAATCAACCCTGATGCGCCTCACTGGTCCCATCATGCAGTGTGGAACCGACGGTATATTGAACCGAAACCAGGATACACACTGGAACAACTATGGACTGACTCCGAGCCTGCCATAAGCAAGAAAACGACCACTTTTTTTTTCCTCCGGTTTGGCCGACGTTGCACTAGGCTCGGTCCTTACAATTGCGTAAGCAATGAAAAGCAGTAATGTACAAGGACACGTGTGGTCCAAAAACTTAGGCAAATCATCACGAAACCAAAGACAAACAAAAAACAACAAGACTACCACAAACAAAAACGACTCGCAAATCCCCCAGCCAGATTTGCGTTTCGCCTTAAAGCAAAACAGCGAAGCAACAAAGAACGGGGCAGAGC